ACTCTCCGATGCCTAAGTTAGCATTCTGATTGTAGGGAGCTTGGAGAGAAATGAGAGAGCTAGAGAGCAAGGATTACCTCCATTTTTCATTCTCTCCCCGGGGGTATTTACCCGGCGGGGACTCTCCGATGCCTAAGTTAGCATTCTGATTGTAGGGAGCCTGGAGAGAAATGAAAGAGCTAGAGAGCAAGGATTACCTCCATTTTTCATTCTCTCCCCCCTGTCTTTGGGGGTCGGAGTCCTTATATAGTGGTGTCCTATCAAATCAGGCGTAACAACCTCTGTCAAGTCAGGCGTAATTGCCTCTGTCTCTCTGCCGCAGCCGTTATTGCTAGAGCTGAGGTGGCGGGTGTAGGCGGCTGCTGTAAAGTACGGCTCTGCCAGTCAAGGGACAGCTCTCAGGACTGGCAGGTACGGCGCCGCCTAGCGAGAGACGTGGGCGCAGGCCTCTGGATCTGTCAGGTACGGTTGTCAGGTAGGAGATCCTCCTGCGATACGCCGAGCTGCCCCTAAGTGCCGAACTACCTATGCCGAGCTACCTGTAAGTGCCGAGCTGCCCCTAAGTGGCGAGCTCTTCGTAAGACGTCAGGCTGCCTGTGGCGAGCTGCCTATGCCGAGCTACCTGTAAGTGTATCGGAACAAGGACTAACCAGAAATTATCTATATTGAGTCTCCTCCCATTGGTTGTATGTACTATGAAATAGATGGGTTAGGCATTGCTAACCTAAATTCCGAGGTTCTTGGCACTTCTTACGTCGTAAAATTTTCGTTCTTTCATTATTAATAAATTTTTTACAATTGCCAATCTTCTATGCAAGGTTCAAAGTATCGGAAACACCAAGTGTATCGGAAAGGCAATTTTAAGAGACGTATCGGGATACACCTTGGATACACATTCGTATTGGAGAAAAACTAAGATATGCATAGATACACCTGGAAACACTATAAATACTTTAATAAATCATAAAAATACATCAATAACACTAAATATAAGACCTCAATGAGGTGTATATACATTAAATTAACATATTTTAATGATTTTATGAAGAAATATATTGTACTTAATTATAATTTCATTAAATATCCTATGCTTAACTATAATTTATAAATTATAATATTTAAGTTTTAATGTTTTATGGGATTGGAAAAACCCAACTCTCTTATCCAGCCATAAAACATGCATTGGCACAACTTCTAAGTGAAAATATAATTAATAATTCTTTATTATTTAAAATAATAATTATTATTTATTATTTATTTCCAAAAATTATGAAAAATAAATAAACATTATATAGTATATTCAAAAAAAGTTATTAAAGATGAAACTTCAATTGCTTTGTGGGTATGATAGATCAGATCATCCATAGAACTATAATATATTCAATCATTGTGATTATTTATTGATAAAAGAAATCAATGTGATCAAATGATAAAATATAATTAATTAATTAATTATATTTTAATTCTAAAAATATAAAAATATAAAAATAATTATTAAAGATGAAATTTCAATTGGTCTGTGGATATGATAGGTCATCCATAGAATTATAAGATAGTCAATTGTTGTGATGAAATGATAAAATATAATTAATTATTATTTATTTTTTAATTCTAAAAGTATAAAAAATAAAAAAATATATTAAAGAAGAAATTTCAATTCCTCTATGGATATGATAGATAAATCTATAGATCTAAAACATATTTAGTCTTTATAGGCAAAGAAAAATTACATTTTCAATTTTTTTTGTTAATTTATATTTTCCCCAAATATCTTCATTAAATTTCCATAAATCTACTGACAACACAAAAAAATATTGTGATTTTGGATGTAAGAAATGTAGATCAACATAAATTTAAACATTCAAGAAAAAAAGAAATCACAAGATATTTTAAAAATCTGACAAAACTTACTATTTTGCCAATTGCCATATTTTTTCAAAATTTGAAAAATCTTCAAAAAAATAAAAATAATGATTCACACGTGTTTCATGCAAAGGTTTGCAAATCTAGCACTCTAGGAATGAGGTTTGGAGTTTTAAAGTCATTTGGGGGTAAAACAAGGTTTATTTATGGGAAACGAATCTTGCTTTCCCCTTTATATTTTTTCAGTTTTTGGCCTTATCTTTTTCGTTGATACGCTACCGATACGCCCTCGATACACCCCCGATACTGGTCTGATACGCATGAAAAAAGATGAGATGACCAATTTCAATGTGTATCCCCTATCTGTTTTTCAAAGATACGATACAATATGCCCCGTATCGGGATTGTATCGAAATTTTAAAGCTTGCTTCTGTGACTATCACATGATTGCTTTGTGACTATGTCCATGTTTCATTGGGAACTGTGACTACAGCTACAGCAGATGCACTCTCCCATTTGCCACATCTATTACAAATCAAGAAAAGGTTGATGTAACTTGGATGTTGATTTTTTCGTTTTCTATTTTTCTTTGTTTTTTTTTTTTTCTTTTACATTGTTCACATTATTGCACCAACAAAAGGGTTAAGAAAAGAAAAATCCACATTGCATCTCTTTCATCATCATTACCAAACTTTTTTGTTTAGGAGCATCCTCATTCAAGTTCAAGTATCTCTCCTTGAGCACAATTTGCAGCCAATTTGCGTGTTATCAAACTATGATGCCAAAACTTGCCTTGTTTCATTCTCAATATGGATTTCTTTCAATCATTACATGTCTGAGTTGGTTGTAATCAAAGGTCTCATTATTTTTCACATTCGACTTTGTATTTGAATATTGGACCATTGGTTACATATCAGTTAGCAGAAGAATTACATGAAAAAGAAAGGCAAGAAATTAAATTACGGGAGGAGTTGGAGCTGTTGAAGGATTCCATTAGATCTGAAAAGCAAAGCTTAGCAGAAATTATATGCGATCGTGATAGACTGATATCACTATGCGATGAAAAAGACTCTGCACTTCAGGTGATTATGATGTGTGAAAATGATATTATATGATTTCTGGCATTCCTCTTCTTCCCATTGTAATAATGATTTTGCTATTTTATTAGGATGCACTGTTGGAGAAGAAGCGCTTGGAAGCTAGATTGACAAAGCTAGGAAATCAAGGGTATTCCTCCCTAGGGAGCAATGCCAGTAAGGATTTAGTTGGATCTAATATTGCGGTAAGTTTTAAAATGTGATGGTTTATTGCAAAATTGCTGTTCTGTTCTGTCACATTGTGGAATTCTATATAGTGATTTTTTTTTTGTTTTGATTGGTTCTGGTGCTTTTTTATAGGATATAAATAAGCTTCAGGAGGAGTTGAAAATGCGCAATGAGGAGGTGCGTTCTGCTGGAGAAACTGTTAAGAGGCTTGCAAATGAAAAACTATTGTTGGAACAGAAGATTCAAAGTGTTGAAAAGAAGAAAGGGGAGGAGGTGAGTTATGTTGTTTGTGTAGTTCTTCTCCATCTAAGTTTCCCAATATTCCTTCTCTTCTGGCATTTCCTGAGTTGCAAGCTAACAGTTTTTCATTTTGTTTTTTATTGTGTACATGCAGATGGAAATTCTTGAGAAAAAATTTGAACAAGAACGTAGGTCTCTTAGGTTGCATGTTTCTGAACTAGAGAAGAAGCTGGAAGGTATAACTCGAGATTTGGCTGTTGCGGAATCTACTATCATGAGCAGGAACATGGAGTTGGATGCATTGCAAAGTAATTTGAAGGAATTAGAGGAACTACGAGAAATGAAAGAGGTAATGCTCCTTTTTTATTTTCTTAGTTTATGTCATTTATATTGAGGTCATTTTTCTGTTTTGAATATTCCATTTTCACTTAGTTTCTACCTCTTGGTGTGGAAAAGAAACCTGAACATGTTATAGCTAATAAAACTCTTTCTTTTTAGGACATTGATAGAAAGAATGAGCAAACTGCTGCTATTTTGAAGAAGCAAGGGGCTCAGTTGGTTGAGTTGGAAACACTTTACAAGGAAGAACAAATGTTGAGGAAGCGATATTTCAATTCAATTGAAGGTTGGTATGGTATTATCTTTTGATATGTCAGTAGGAGATGGGTGCTTTTCATTTCTTTTCTTTTCTTTTTTCTAACTAAGGGCACCATGTATTTTATTGGGTCATTTACTAGAACGCCCCCTGTAATTTCACAGATATACTTACACCTACCTTGTAGTTTTTATTTACTAAAACACCCCCTATAATTTGCAACCTATTTACTTAATTGACCTTTTTCTAAGAAGTGTTTGTTTTGCCATATAAAGGTAGTAACATGATCTCCTAATAGAGTGGTTGCTTATTCCAAAAGTACCCCTAACACTTCTTCGCACAAAAATCAAAATTGACCAAATAGAGTGGTTGCTTATGTCTTATTAGGGTAAAAATGGTATTTCAAATTTTATTTTATTTTGATTAAATTTATTAAATGGATAGTAGTATTTTCCATTATCATCTAATGGATGGTTGATTAACTAAATCAATTGCAAACTATAGGGGGTGTTTTAGTAAAATGCAAACTATAGGGTAGGTTCTAGTAAATCCATGAAACTATATGGGATGTTTTAGTAAATGACCCTATTTAATATTATAGGAATTCTTGTTTTAGTTTTTATTGTCTTAATAAATGTCTATTTTTCAATTGATGTTCAATTCCAGATATGAAAGGAAAGATCAGAGTATTTTGCCGATTAAGGCCTCTTAGTGAGAAAGAGATGTTAGAAAAAGAAAGGAGTGTTCTTACAAGCATTGATGAGTTTACAGTTGAACATCCTTGGAAGGATGATAAGATGAAACAACACCTTTATGACCATGTTTTTGATGGCAGTTCTTCCCAGGAAGATGTATTTGAGGACACTAGGGTAAATTTTGTTAAATGTCAATACTTAAGCATTAAAGTGGAATATTGTACAATTTGAACTTTTGTTTGCTAATTTCTTGGTGGCTAACTTTCTCTGGCATGATTTGACAGTATTTAGTGCAATCTGCCATTGATGGGTATAATGTTTGCATATTTGCTTATGGTCAAACTGGTTCCGGAAAAACATTTACAATTTATGGGTCTGAAAGCAATCCCGGATTGACACCAAGAGCTATTGCTGAACTCTTCAAAATTTTGAAGCGCGACAAAAACAAATTTTCTTTCTCCTTGAAGGTAAGTAATGTGTTACAAGTTACAATGAAATTGTAGAATGGTGACTTTTGATGATATCGAACATTGTTAGAGTCATTTACTCAAATGAATTCAACAATTCCTTTTTTATACAACATATATGGCAGAATTTAATGACCTTTCATAAACTACCTTTTGTTCTTTGTTAAATGGTGATAAGGATCAAATATAAAGCCTTTATCTAGTGTAGTATTGGCTAGTTGAAGTTTTGAGAGGGTGGATTGATTATGGATCTTACTTCCTGCATATTTCCATGTTCTCACACATCAACCTGAGTCTTACCATCTCATGCAGCAGTTGCCCCTTCCATTGAAATAAAATAAATAAATAAACTGTTCAACTTGTATTTTTTTTCTTTACACTAAGAAGATGATGAAGTGGGGATGGAGAGGAGTAAAGTTGGAATTTTGGAAAGGGTGGGTGTTGTAGGAATAAGCAGGGGTAAAGTGGGGGAGGAGTTTTAAGGAGAAGGAAAATCGAGAGATGTGTTTTGGAGTCAAGGAAGGTGTAGAGACATAGGTGGTGGGGAAAAGTGGAGGGGATTTGAATTTGAGTAGAATCCACTTAGGCAACAGTAGTTTGAACAACGCTAACGTGGATTTTTGGTCAAATTTGCTGAAAATTAGGAGGGGCAAGGGCTTTATTGATAAAAAACCAATAAGAGGGGAATTTTGAAAAAAAATGGAAAGGAGAGTCTTCAAAACATTAAGAGGAGAACTGGATTTGGGTGATTGCCATGTTCAAAGGAGGAAAGAACTCCTTGGAAATTCAACGGAGCATACGAAGCCATGGCTTGGATGACAAGGGGTCTAAGAGAAGAAGGTACTCGAGAAGGGCTAGAGACGAGATGACGCTGACTAATGCTATAGAGGGTCAGATTAGGAAGGTGACATCATCACTGCTACATGTCCACCTTTCTCAGTCGGTAGTAGGGGATTTGTCTACATTAGAAGGGCTGTGGGTGGATGACGATGAAAACAAGCTGACTTGTGAAGAAAAGAAACTTGAGCCTGAGAATAGTTCAGTTGCTGATTAGACAGATGACGAGGTATGTATGAAAAACACTCTTAATGAGATGACTTTGAAGGAGTTGGGGAAGGCTTTAATCGATCGTGGAAAAGAGAGCTGGGGAAGAAAGTGAATGTCTTTGGATGACAACAATTGAGGGAGACAAGCCAAAAAAAGTTTATAATAGAAAGAGAATAATGATTGGAATTGATATGAAACCTGAGAGTGGGAAGGAGGTTGGAGCAATAATCCAGGAGGTGAATTCAGTGGAAAGTAGAGGGGGAGGGGGAAGAGGAGAAAAGTAAAAGTGAGGATTAGGGAGGGCTGACAAAAATCGAGAATGGAGAAGTGGCAGTTGGCAAGTCCTTAGGTTTGTTCTTCTGGGAGGGGAAGGCTTTGTGAGAAAAGCCTTCGAGTAGTTTGAAGAAAAAAGGAGGAAGAAAACAAAAGGAAAGGAGAGGGAAGGATAGAGAGTGATATGAAGGGGACGAGGATGAGGTGTTGGGTGAGGATATGTGAAGTTTGGGATGAGGGGGGAGTATGAGGGTGTTAAGCTGGGATTCACGAGGGCTGAGAGAGAAACAGGAGAACAATGGTGACAAATTTGAGGAAACTAGTTGTGGACTGGGCTTGGAGCTCCCTATATTTGATCATATTAGTATCAGAACTAGGGTAGAATTTTTGGCATGTTCTTGAATTTTAGTTGTGTTTCTCAGTTTTCAGCATGTATCTCTAAATTTGTTTTGATTGTGAGGTGCCACCTTGTGACCTCTTGGTCTGTAATTTTTCCTTTGATTAATGAATTTCTTTATACTCTTCCAAAAAAATGTTTTTTGTATAATCAAATAAAATTTATGTATTTCATGGCCACTAGCTAGCTAGGGGAGGTTTTTTTTGCCATCAATTTAAGTGTACCTCATTACCTTGACCCTTTTATTTATTAATAATATTCTTGATATTATCTGCATTTTGAAATGGTACAGGCCTATATGGTGGAGCTATATCAGGATACACTTGTAGATCTTTTATTACCGAAGAATGCAAAGCGTCTAAAATTAGATATAAAAAAAGATTCAAAGGTGATTTCTATGTCTAAGGATGTAAAATGTTTGATTGGATATACCCTTATCAGAAATTACTGAATTCTTATATTATAGTTTTTATTACTTTATGTCTTACTAATTTGTTATCTTCATATTTCTAATAGGGAATGGTTTCTATAGAGAATGTGACAGTTGTTTCAGTTTCAACTTATGAGGAATTAAGAACTATTATTTTGAGAGGGTCTGAGCAACGACATACGTCCGGGACTCAAATGAACGATGAAAGTTCAAGGTCTCATTTGATCCTTTCAATCATTATTGAAAGCACTGATCTTCAAACTCAGTCTGTCGCAAGAGGGAAGGTAGATATGCACATTCATTAAGTAGAAATAGTTTCTTGTTTGATTAAATTAAAAGGAATTTTTACACTTTCACAGTTGTATGTTTGCATGAACTAAGAAATTATGTTGGTGGTCATAGTTATTTTTTCTTGGTGGAGGTTCTCCATGTTTTCAGTTTTCATCTGACTAGTATTTTCCTCTACAGTTGAGCTTTGTAGATCTTGCTGGTTCAGAGAGAGTTAAGAAGTCAGGTTCTTCTGGGAGTCAACTGAAAGAAGCTCAGAGTATCAATAAATCACTTTCAGCCCTTGGGGATGTGATCAGTGCTTTATCTTCTGATGGTCAGCATATACCATATAGAAACCATAAACTAACGATGCTCATGAGTGACTCGCTTGGTGGAAATGCTAAGACTCTTATGTTCGTAAATGTATCTCCAGCTGAATCAAACTTGGAAGAAACCCATAATTCTCTGATGTATGTGCTTATTCTATTTACCATGTAAAAATTTTTAAGTGCATACCTAATTGTTTCATACTTGATTGTTGAGCATGTTCTTGCATTGTAGTATATAAGAATATTGTTTCTTGGATGATAATTGCTTTGATCACATTTAGTAGGATATATTCAGTACTCTGATAATGCTATTTTCATATTAAATTAGGTATGCTTCAAGAGTCAGGTCAATTGTCAATGACCCAAGCAAAAATGTTTCATCAAAGGAAGTTGCACGTTTGAAGAAGCTACTGGCTTATTGGAAGGAACAAGCAGGCAAGAGGAGTGATGATGAAGATTTAGAAGAAATACAGGATGAACGCCCTGCAAAGGAAGGGGTACATAGCCGCTGTTCCATGTAAATTACCGTCATTAATACGTGGTTCATTTTTCTGTATTGGTTAAATGTGGTTAGCCAGCAGCATGGGAAAGGTTCTCCAATATACAGTTTATTGACAGTTTCTTAATGTCATTAATTGGTATGAGAACCTTCTCAACACATCGCTGAGGGTTGAGATTTCACGTTGATTTCATAAAATCAATATCAAAAGCTGTAAAGTTTGAAGCAGTATATATTTGCTTAGCCCTGTATTTTAATAGATCTCAAATGAAAAATCCATACTTCTCTCGTTTGTATTTCTGTTTTTTTCTTAATTGTAAATAGTAAAATTTTGGGCTCCTCTTTCCCATTTCATTTGGTATTTGTTTAATGTTTTTATGACTACAAACATACATTAAGGTATATAATCACACGTACATGCAACTTCTTTTCCCTACTAAACATTTACATGTGACCTGAGAGAGAGATGAGATGAATAGAATGATTGTGTGAATGATCTTATAGGGAGATAAAGTTATGAGCTTTCATACAATTTCTCCTAAGAAACTATAATGGTTGGTTCTTTGTGTTCATATTAAGAGCTTTATTTCTTGAAAATTTAACAATATAATCAATTTTAATGGAAATTGTGTACTAAGATCATTCTATTCTCCATTGTAATACCCAAGGCTCATAAATTTAATGAGCTGTTTTGGGAATACAAGGGGGTTTAACACAGAAAACCGTTGTGGATGCCCTTCATGTGCTTTGCATAGTAAAGATTCTTCAGTTGCAACAAAAAAACCTAGTTGTCTAAATCTTAGAAAATAATGGAAATGTTTTTCTTTATATTGTATGAAGCTGGTGCAATACAATTCAAAATTACAAATTACTGAACCGTGTACTACGAGATGAGTTTCTGTAGGATATGTTTGGTTTGCAGTTGGAATAAAAATAGAAAGCCACTGTCCGTTTGGTTTAAATGAAAACTGGAATCAGCTGGAATGGATTCTCATTCCCAAGGGAGGAGGGAATGGCCATTCTTTCAAATGGGAAATGCCATTCCATTATGGTCTGTTTGGTTTCCATGAAAGTTGGTCTGGGAGAGGAAAAGGTGGGAAGGCATGGGATGAGAAACAGAAAATTTATTCTCATTGGGGTGTCCTGTGCTTGGTTAGTCAAATATGTGGGAAAATCAAGTTTTCAGTGTTTCAGGGCCTGCATTTGCTTCGACTCCAACAATCTAATGTTCTTTTAGAAACTCTTTCAGAAGGAAACACATCTACGACACCGCCGGAATCAATGGCTGTCAGAACAGGGGTGACCAGATATCGCTAGTGCCCTAAAATGACAACAAAAACAAAGAAAAAATGAACGGGTGTTATCCCAGACGAATCATTGTCGGAAACGACAATGAAAATGGCCGGAGATAACTTTCTAAAGGGGGGGGGGGGGTAAACACTGGACTGAGAGAGAAAAATATCAAATAAAAAATACGAAAAAGAGGGCTTAAACGAACCAATATCACAAGTAGAAATCTGGTCTTACCGTCAACGGTTATAGCCAAATAAGTGATTGGAGTTCTAATCGGGAGGACATGAAAGCTTGGATCGTGGAGGAAAGAGACGCTTATGACAAGTCACGATATATTCTCATTCATTTCCTTTCTCACCGGAGTCGCACGATTTCAGCGTGACCCTTTTCAAGTTTTGGGAGGTTGCGTCCCATGATTTCTCAGTCTGTTTCATAAAACAAACAAATGAAAACAAACATCTAATGGGAACATTTTAATTTTCTCATCCCAGCCGCAGCAACCAAATAGACCTTTAGGAATGAGATTGGAATTCTGATTCTGTTCAACCAAAATGGTTGGAAGCGGAATGGACCATTCCAATTTTGATTTCAGACTCCTATTCCTGCAAATCAAACAGACCCAAGATTCATGTACTAGTGTTTTGTTTACCAATATATCATTTATGTACATTATTTCAATTTCTTTATACTCATCCTATTCGTTATTCGTTACTCTTACAAGTTTAAAATCATGGCTTCCACCGAATTTGCAGGCACGTTTGGGCGTAGAATTTTGTTGCAACATGCCAACATTGCATGTACATATTTTACCAAAATATAAGGAAAGAAAACGTTAAAACGTTGGTTGTTCATATGTCCTTAACCAATAGAACGTGTGTTGTCTTTAAAGTTTGGTACTTTGGTAACCCAATATCATATCCAAAGTGGCTGAACTCTTAAACCATATTCACTTGGGCTGTGTGTTTGATTGAATTGCTGGTCGAAGCATCGTTACTCTTCAATTCGGTAGGTGACGGGATGGCTAGACCCTTGGGTAATTCTATTACGCACTGAACCAGGTTGGAAATCACATCTGCTTGACCGAACTTGAATTTATTCACACCCTCACAATACATTCAGCCCCGTAGTAGGAAAACCTCCCAACGAAAGACAGCATACAAGTACGTAAGATGTTCCTAAGCCTCGTTCGTTTTTTGGTAAATTATTTATCCACACTTACCCGGGTAAGTACATTTACCTATGTTCTTTTATTTCCCATGTAAATAAGACAATGACCATTTTATCCATAAGAATCCATTATTAAAAGTGGCATTTTTGTACCATTTAAGTGTTGGCAATTTTCCCCTAGGTGGGAAAGTTATTTACCCACTTAAGAGATAACCAGGAAAATAAACTTTCCCTTATTTTCACATAAATCTGAAAAAAGAACATGAGATTTTTGGTCAATGAAAACTCCCCCCCCCTCTCCTCTCAAAATCCAGAAAAAGAATACCCCCTTAATGTACTACTGCAATGTATTATGAGGTGAGTGTGAAGAGCAGGTCTGGCCTCGAATCAAACAGGAGAATACTTTCTGTTTATTAAAGAAAGAGGAAAGAAGGGACATAAGGGGTTTTCTCATCATGGATCTCATATGTACTTCCTTTCCTCCATTGTCACACATGTGTATATTAATTTTTTAAATTAAATTTTAAAAATATAATAAATCAAAATTAAAACCCTCATGGGTCTTAATTGTCTCTCATAAAATCCATATATACTCTTTAATAAGATCAATTTTAAATCTCTCTCTACCCCTATCCACTAGGGATGTTGATGCAAGTTGAGCGGGTTGGGTTGGGTTTTAGTTCAACCCAGGCTCAACCCTAAGAATTAGGCCTAAAGCCCAAGCCTTGCCCACACTAAAATTTGAGGCACTTTGGTTGGTAAATCGGCCCATACTAAAAATTGATATACATGCATGTGTATATGTATGCATGTATACATATATGTGTGGCAACCCAATCTATATCTATCTATACTACTTATAAAAGTGTGAATGAAGAGGTATTGGCTTCTGAATTTTTTTTTTTACTGAATTTAGTTCATCTCCATTGAAAGGGTAGAAAATGCAATTAAAAGAATACCATTAAGTACATTCAATTACCTCTCATTAAGTCTCACATTTAAGTTATTAAATAAATCACATTCTCTCTCATTGAATCCAACATTTATACTTTTGTTTATCATCATTAAATTCCACTAACAAATCCATACACAATAATTATTAATAGAATGGAATTTTATATTTTTAAAATAAACATAGGAATGGAATCATATTTTTCATCTAGGTGGTGGGCAAGTAGTTCAACCATTTGGGTTAAATGGATAATTTCGTGATGTCATAAATAAATAATACAAATTAGAAATATAAAAAATACTTTTGTTTATCATCATTAAATTCTATTAATACATACACAATAATTATTAATAGAATGAAATTTTATATTTTTAAAATAAACCTAGAAATGAAATCATATTTTCCATCTAGGTCGTGGGTAAGTACTTCAACCATTTGGTCAAATGGATAATTTCATGATATCATAAATAAAGAATACAAATTTAGAAATATAAGAAATACAAAAATATAGAAAAAATTTTGAAAAAAATAGACACATTTCTATTATTATATATTTGTCATATTAAAAAAATAACTATGATAAAATCGACATAATTTTATTAATGATGGACATCAAATAAATAACTTAAAACCGATGGGAAATTAAACCATCTTCCTATCTAGGGGGTGGGTTAGTGTTTCAACCTTTTTGGTCAAATAGGTTAACCCATGGTGTATAATTAAAAACAATTTTTTTTTAATATAAAATTGTACAAAAGAATATGAAACAATTTGGGGCACATCTATAATATTATATACTAATAATATAAACAAGAATAAGTATGATAAATAATAATTATTTTATCAATGATATAAATGAAATGTAAAATTTAAAACCACTTTGAGAATGAAACCATTTCCATATTTAGATGGTATGTAGATAAGTCAATGATCTAACATTCTAGGTCAATCTATGATGTCATAACTAGGTAACGAATATTAAATACATACATACAAATATATATAAACTCAAAGAAAAATATAAGCTTTATATAAATCATTTTGATACAACTCTATTGTTATATATTCACCAAATTAAACAAAAGTAAATGTGAAAATAATAATTACTTTTATCGATAATGAAAATGGAATACATGATTTAAAATCAACCGGAAAAGCAAAATGATTTTTCTATCCAAGTGATAGGTTAGTGGTTAAACTAAACATGTCAAATGGATGTCATTATTAAATAATGAGATACCTAAAATTTTAGAAAATTTAGAAAATTATCGATAATTTTGGGAACATTCTATAATATTATATTCATCATATAAAAAAGTGTGATTAATGAGAATTATTTTTATTAATGATAGAAATGGGATAAAAGTTAGGATAAAAAATAAAGAGAATTAATGTCTAACACATGACTCGATTAACCATGTCAAATGGTTCAATAATTTAATTAGCTAGGTCATCGTAGGCAAGTGGTTTGGTAGGGATGCAAACAGATCAGATTATATTTAAATTAGTGTATATTCAAATATGATATGATCCAAAGATTCGACTGGATCTCATAAATATTGATACGAATCCAAATATGATACGGATCTCATAATCCGTATCATAAATATTGATACGGATCTCATATCATATTGATACGAATATGATATGATCCTATTTAATTTTTTAAAAAATTAATAAATTATTAAAAGAAAAAGAAAAATATAACAGTTGAAATAAAAAACAAAAAAAATATAAGTATTTTTTCAACTATTTCCATCATATAAAATGTTTACAAAATGCAATATAAATATATGATTTGACCACAATATTAAAAACCAATGTTCAAACAATATATTGGAATTGCATTACCTCTTGGTAAATAAGTCATTTTTATTATCTCATAAATTAAATAATAAAAAAATTAAAATATAGAATTTTTTATAAATTTTATAGAAAAATT